TAATTACTTTAGAGTTAAAACATCTTTCTTTTCACACATTAGAAATAGATAAATGAAATGTTAGAAATACATGTGGAATGTAGCAGAAGCCAGGAATGGTTAATTTCAAAACCACACCAAAGTATAAAAAGTATCAATACAGGTTACAGATATATTATATAGAGAGAACCTGAAAAACACGAAAAAAATACAGAGAAGGAAGAATGTATGCTTCAAATACAAAATGACTTCCAGAATCTAACAGAGCATTTGAAGTCTCTTTTTGTACATGGACAATGAAACGGAGGAATCTAATAAATGTATGTTTTCATTCCACAAGGTAACTCCACAATATTTAATAGCATACATGTACCTCTGACAAGGCCCAACGGTCCCTTTAAATTTAATCAAGCTGCACCAACACTTAAATAAATATGAGTCCCCTTAATATGCCTGATCCATGAACTATTCTCTGGGAAAATGGTGAAAATGTTCAAAAAGAGCTTCCTATCTCACAACGTTAAAGAAAGTGAAAAATGATTCCAGGATCCGCACACTGATCTGAATGTGCATAAAAATGTAATGGGTTCTTAATGGGTCCTCTGACCAATACCACATCCTTTCTATCAATGTCTGTGGTCATCCATTCAGTTGTTGTGTAATCCTGCTAACTAACAGACAAGCCAACCAACAGAAAAATCAATATCAGCCTGTTGTATTGCTGAAGATAACTCAAAGTCTTCATGCACTGTGAAGACAGATCCATGCATAGTTTATGATGCTAATAAATCTTGGAATCTAACAACTGCTCCACATTATATAAGTGGATTTATGTGTATCCTCCAGTCAGCCAGAAGCAGAGAGAGACCACATTCACACCAGGATTAGAGGTGAAAAGAAAAAAGGTATTAGGACCAGTTTGTAAAACTAAATGAGAGACAATCCTGTTTGTTCTTTTAGTAGTTAATGCGAATTAAAACATTTGTTCCAGTCAGACGTTGTTGTTTAGTTGGATTGGTGGCTGTCGTCACAGAGCTTTAGTAGAAGTTGTCTGGCCCCTGGAAACCAGACTAATCAGATTTTTCTAAAGCCACTGATGATGTGTGCTGTAGGAATCCATGTCGGAGGGCGGCCTCAACGGTTCATTTAAGACGTGTGTCTCAGGCGAGACCTCTGATTGGCTCACGCAGCCCATCCCCCTATAGGCCCCATCTCAATGGTGTTGAATGCATTCTTAACCTCAGGGAGTGTTCCTGTCAGGCTACCCCCGACCCAGCAACAACCCCCCCCTTTTCTTTTTTTTTTTCTCCTTCCTCTCCCTCTCATGTGCGTGACATGAGGCAACCCTGCAGGGCCGTAACTGCAGCAACAAAGAGGATATCAGCCAGCATCGACCCCTACACACACACACACACACACACACACACACACACACACACACACACACACACACACACACACACACACACACACAGTTCATGCATACAGAAAGTAAATATTAACCCAACCACATAAAGAAAAAGAGCACATGGCCACACATGTACTTTTATGAATGTTATCAAGTCATATAGTTTATATGTAATTCTATTTAATTTACAGACCTGTCAACCAATGTGGTGCAACAAATGATGTTCATCCAAGGAAATTTAGTGCAGCACACTGAATGTGTGTTTTTTAAATTCTTATTTCTTATGAAACCTTAAACAAAGTTTTTCAATTCTAGTATTTCTATAAATGGTAGGTTACATTTGCAAAATGTCAGCAGACAAATTGAGAGAAATGGCAGAAAAGAAACCTTCTAAATACATATACTGAGTCAATACACTTGGATACAATTCAGTTTTGCTGCTACAAACGTTTATGTTTGCGCCATAAGCCACAGTAAATACACATTGCACACTGGAGTAAATAAACCAGTTCTTCTCCTCAGTCACAGGTCACAGGCTATTTCTCGGTTGTCATACGTCCACATACACACAAGCCCTAACATTCTCCAAATTCTCTCTCTCTATTTCCAACCTACTCGTCTATCTCCATAGTATCTCACTCTCCCTCTCTCCCCCTTTCTCCAGCCTCCCCTTGTGTATCTCTCTCTGAGCGCCTCCTTCCCCCTCCTACCCCCTTCTAGTTGGCTACTTGTTGCTCCCTGATGAATGATTCAGTTCTTAGAAAACCCAACACGTGTTTCCTTGTTCCCGCTCTGGCTGCCTTGTGTGGATGGTGTGTGTGTGTGTGTGTGTGTGTGTGTCCATCAATGACAACGACAAGGTCACATGTGCATATTCAGTACAGTTATGCAGTCCATTTTTTTTGTGTGTATGTATGGACGGAGAGCAGAAACTGACCCACGGCCATGAACTTCATCACATATTGGATTTGGGTTTCATACACACAAGTCAAACACACACACACACACACACACACACACACACACACACACACACACACACACACACACACCTCATTCTTCAGCAGCGGGAGCAGTTGGAGACTAGTTCTCAGAATCAGTGAACAACAACAAAAAGCTGAGTCCCACGTCAGGGAATAACCTTACATAACTTTACTATGCACTCTGTGCAACAACTACTGTGGACTTTGCAGTGTTTGTGTAGAAGCAATACTTATAACATAATTGTTAACTAAATGGAAACTTGACTTGCAGCCATGCACTTAACATATACATCACATACAACAAACAGTCCTTGTCAAAACCTTTAACCTTAAATCACCAATTTTATGGTTAGAGATTTCATTTCCATGTGGATTCCTGAGAGCATATGGAAAGAAGGGAGCATTTGGCATATTTAATAGCTTCAAATGTGTTTGTGTGTGTAGTTGAATCTTTTTTTGAGCAGGTCTAAGCATGTGTGGGCATGTTTCACTGCTGCTGGCAGGGAACCAAAGCCATTTGTTGATTTATAGAGTTCTGGTTCATGTGATTGATTTGCAATTACTCTTTGTTTGATCAACCTCTGTCTTTCGCTCATGGATACAGTGCTGTATCTCTCTTTGTTTACTGTGACAGGGTACATCAGGTTTGCAGTCTCCTTCTCTTACTCCAAAGGGCACAAACAGGTCCGTTAGTTGTCCGTTAGTTCGTCCGTCCCATTCTAGTAACTGTGGCCTCACAAACCCTTTTTTGCCTTGTGAACGCGTTGTCTTAAAACCTCCTTGAGACAAAACAATTTAGCACAAATGTTTACTTAGACTGACAGGTGAGCTAATTAGATTTGGGTGTTCAAAGGTCAAAGGTCAAGATCATGGTGGCCTCACTAAACACATGAAAAAGACATGATATCTCAAGTCTGCTCACATGGAATTACTTCAGATTTTGACCAGTTGTCACTTGGACTCAAGCTGAACTGATTGTGGTCAAAGGTCTAAAGTCAGAATTCATGGTGACATGTAATTTTAAACTCAATATAGTCACACAACCACAGGGCAGAAATTCTATTTTTACACTTTTTGTACAAAATGAGCAGTAACTAAAATGTCTAATCCTCTTTCTAGTCTTTATGCTAAGCTATATGCTAACAATTCGCTGGCCTCATATTTACCATGCAGATGTAAGAGGCTCTGTAAAGGCTGTGTCTTGGTCTGGACTCAAAGCATCACAGCCGGTGGATGGATTGACAATTTGACAACTGAGACACTGTCAGTGCATACTACAAATACAGATGCCTTTGAGCTTTCTGAATGTGACTATTCTTATCTCTGCTCCACTTGTATGTCCTCAGAACCCTGTTTACTGTTGCTCTCCTCTCACTTGAGTTGATTTAAAAAATAGGGCCATCTCTGTTCAATCTAGGAAGATGCACAACAAGTTTTATATAGACTATATAGTTCATAGTGTGTAGTAACTATGGAAGCATTAAGGATAATTTTTTGCTAAACATAAATAAGGCAGTGGTAAAATCCATCGTCTCATCATACTCTCAGTGCTTTTAACTTACTGTATGACAACTAAGCACTTAGTTGACGCACATTTGAATCAAGATATGTGTTTTATATCTTCGACCTAGATTTATAGCTATTGCTTATAATTACACTGTTTTAAGAAGAGAGGAGGAATGCAACTGAGACAGCAATGAAGTTCAGAGAAACACTGCAGCTACTTTAACCTCAGGCTTCTAACCACATGTCATTCAAATCAGCTTCCTGCATCAGAGAAAGAAAAATAAAATAAATCAGGCACCACTTTTTAATGAACAATATTAAAAAACTAACTTACTAATGAATTTAAAAGGTTACAGTTGATTTCTGTTAAATAGTGTCAGTTACAACCATTAAGAACCTTTGGGTTGCCCGGAAAGGAAATTAAGGGTGTTTAGTTGTGAATATGTCAGGTCATTAAAAAGTAAAGAATTCCTCATAGCTTAAGTCAAGAAATCATTTGTAACTGCAAATACTTAATAATACATAATGAATAAAGTGTCGTAACAGTATCCAAGTGTGCAGTTATATGTTAAAACATTAATATGGGTCCATATGCCCAGCAGCTGCAGACTGGAGCTAGCAGCTGCAGCCTGTTTACTATTTGGTGTTCTATCATAAATTAATTTAGCATTTTCAGATGATTCCCTTTTTTCAAATTTTGCCTCCAGTGTTTCCTCGTATAATATGGTGAGACAGTATTGTGAGACCCCAGTTCCTGTTGTGTATTTCTCAGTGTTCTATTTGACTCTTGCTTTGTATGCACGTGAGGGAGTTACATTTTGTTAGTATGAAAAATGCTGCATAAATGAAGCTGATTAAAGAGATGAAACACTAGTGACCCCAAATTATGTCCTCATAAGGAACCAATAATAAATAATACATGAGACAGCATAAGGGAGATGTTCACTGTGAATACTGACATAGGTCTGTAGGCAATGAAGATAAATTAAAAAATATATATTGGTGATTTCAAGAGGGAAATATATTATGTCAACAATATGCGACGTCACCATCGGCTCAGCCAATGGGCTCGCTGTGTGTCTGCAGTGGGAGGAATATTTTAACCATGTTTTTAAAAAGCGAAGCAGCTCTGAGCTTTTAGAAAACCCAACATGAGATGAGAGTCAGTGACAGCGTGTGATGAGAGGAGCGGACACTGCACCGGAATCAAACTGCACCACTGCACTGGACCGCTGGTGGGAACGGATCATTTGTTTTTTTCTTTGAATGGCGGAAACATCCCCTGAGAAACAAGAGGCGTGAATACAGAACGTGAGTAAAAGACGAGAAGAGCGATCACACCGTGCTGCCAGTGCACGTGACTGTTTTCTATAAGATTACGAGTCGACGTGAAGACGAGTCTGCGTGTGTGTGTGTGTGTGTGTGTGTGTGTGTGTGTGTGTGTGTGTGTGTGTGTTTGAATGACTGCACACTGCAGAGCCTCACCCCGTGTGTGCAGATGTTTACATGTCGGCTCACACACACATGACTCTGCACCGCCTCTGTGTGATGTTGTTGCACCAACATAGAAAACCTCTGTTTGTGTTTATTTGTGTTGCTGTTTAGAGGAGGTGAAGATGGAGGATGAGGTCGAATGAAGAAATGTGTGTGTGTGTGTGTGTGTGTGTGTGTGTGTGTGTGTGTGTGTGTGTGTGTCAAACTGCTTCTGTCACACTAAATTGATTTAATCCTCATCCTCATGTGTCTGTGAATCCCCCATCTCTGTGTTTCTATGTGCTCATGTCTGTGCTGTAGTGAGAGAGAGTGAGAGAGAGAGCTTATATTTGTAATGAATCAGCCTCTGGGGGTTTGTGTTGCAGCTCTGACTCTGTGTTGTTGCTCACTTTGGTTATTTACAGGAGAAGTGTGTGTTATAGGGTCGTTATAATGTTTTGTTGTTTCTTTAGTAAATTACAGTAAGTCCATTGAATGACCCTGACTAACATTATGAGTTGTCTCGTGATTGGTCATTACATAATGGGGGAGCATTGTGATTGGCTGTTTCAGCGAAAACGTCCTGGGGGGAGCGGGCAACGCTTTGGTAGTAGTGTGTGAGTGAGTGTGTGTGAATATGTGTACTTGTATCTTTTTGAGGACCATTTTGAGCATAGACAGATTGGGGACATTCTTGTTAAGTACTCGGTTTATTTTGGTGGGTCATGTCTCTTTCAAAGGCTGTTTATGTTATAGGGATATAACTAGTTTTACTTTTGGCTCAGGCTAAACAATCCACTCTAAGTAAATGCTCAAAGAGGGGGTTCATTATTAAAATCACAATAAGTTGGTTAAAATCAGGTTAAACTTAGGGTTAAGCAATGGTTAGGGACCTTGTCAGGTACAGTAGACCTCATGGAGACTGAAGCTCAGTCCTAATGAGGCTAAATGTCATTTCTGAGGTCCTATTTAAGGTTAGAGGTAAGATTTGAATTGTGGTTCAGTTAGGGTTGAATTGATCATGGTTAATATTAGTGATAAGGTTTGGGTTAGGTTATCCAAAATGAAAGGAAGTCAGTCTAGTGTCCTAACAGGGATATCCGCACAAACTTGTGTGTGTTTGTGTGTGAATGTATGGTCCTGTCTGTCTGCACGTGGCCTATGTTGACAATGATATCTGGTCTGAGGTATGTCCGAGAACGACAGCATGTGACTGTGTTTGCCCGAGACATAGAAAATAAACGGATAAGGGAGCGAGAGTGAGACAAAGGGGTCATACAATTATGTAATCAACGTCTGACACCTCCACTCCCTGTTCTTAAACATTAAATCAGTCAGACCAAGAGATTGAAATGAAAGAAATCCATCCTCACATAATGAAGGTGAATGGAATTTTAATTTCTGAGAATTCCACGGCCCTCACTGTGAACAGTCTAACTGGAGCTGCAAGAGATATTCAAAACTATCTGTAGGGCTCGACTGGCTGAGATAGGAAAATATGTTTGTTGTCGTTTGGACTAACTGTTAATAAAAAGATAAGTCTTAAGACCAAAATACCTCATAAAGTCTGTTTCTATATGTGATATTATTATAAAGGTATCTTGATACGTGGTCTGGACAGTCTTAGATTAGTGACAGTGTTCAATTGTGTTGTTATATTATAGCAGGCTGGGCCATATCCTGCTATGACATTATTATCATTGTCATCATATTATTAATTTTGATATTGTTATCAATCATTAGAGCTGAACAGTCCTCATCATCAGAGTGTTCTACATGTGTGTCAATGCCAGGATCTGAGTCAGCATACAGTTATATCACATATTTTGTGTTCTTTCTTTCTTCTGTCCTTCCTTCCCTCCTTCATGCTTAAACCCCTATTTGAAGCTTTGAGGAAACACCATTGTTACTTACTTTGTTGTTTAAATAGTTACCTCGGCTTGGCACGATCAGACACACGATTACATCTATTGGATTGCACAACGCAGCTGTTTACTCTCACATGTGGTTACTTCCACGAATCAACGAAGCACATCTATCAACACGATATAAATCATACTCCTCAGTTCCCTGCAACTCTGAATATGTGTTCCTGCTCTTGTTTCCCTCCCTGGCTCAGCCATTCCTGCCAAATCAACAACCACACATCGCTCAGGCTCGTGAATGTGTTTCCCTGTCTCCGTCTCTCTACACAGCCATGTTTGGCATTCTAAACAGAGAGCATAAGAGGCTGTGGATGAGAGAGACTGGCACAGCACCACATGATTAATCTTGTCCCTGATGGAGTATACTGCAAAGAGGAAAAGGCTTTTCAATCCGTTTTTCAACACAGAGAAAACATCCTCGATTTTTTTTTTTAGAAAAGCAGAATGTTTTTTATATTCATGCACCCACACATCCACAAACAAAAGACCAACAGCACCACAAGAATAGAGGAAAGGATGTGAAAACATCTGTGTACTGCCTCAGCAACTTGGTATTGCAAGAGTGGCTTGCTTCTGCAGGCAGTAACAGGACTCAGTGGATCAATAATGTATTTTAATGTAGTGGGATGACAGGAGGGCTCTGTGGTCCACTGAAGGTCATTTGTTCAACATGATGTGAATAAAACTATATTTTCTGGGCTGAAGAAATCAACAAGGTTCCCACTTTTCCTTTTGCTTTCTCTCCCTGTCTGTGTCCAGTTGCAGACCATGAACTATGTGGGTCAGTTGGCGGGCCAGGTGTTTGTGCAAGTCAAGGAGCTGTACAGAGGTCTCAACCCCGCAACACTGTCTGGTTGCATAGATGTCATCGTGGTGCGGCAGCCTGATGGCTCCCTGCAGTGCTCCCCCTTTCATGTCCGCTTCGGCAAGATGGGCGTCCTGCGGTCCCGTGAAAAACTGGTGAGATCAGAGTGCTCGCTCCCTCTCTCACACCGCCCTCATGCACAGAATATTTGTGTGTTAAAACTTAGACCTGAAGTATTGATACAAATGTGTAAAGTAGGAAAGAAATACAGGTACAAGCCCTTCATCCAAAGTCATATTCTTACCAGCTTAATAATGCACCACAGACGACATGGTGGTTCAGTGTTTAGCATGGTTGTTTTGCAGCAAGAAGGTTCTGAGTTGGGACCGGCCAGCATTGGTGTTCTCTGTGTTCTCCTGCGTCCTCCCACAGTCCAAAGACTTAGGTTAATTGGCGGATCTAAATTGCTTGTGAGTGGTGTGATGGGCTGGTGATCTGGGTGTACCCCACCTGTCAGCACAATGTCAGCTGGCCTTGGCTCCAGCCCTCCGCAACCCCCTCAAAGGACAAGCAGTATGGATAATGAATGGAACAATGAATATTCAGCAGGCTGGATAAGAAATCAGACAGAACTGGTTTACAGTACGTTGAAAAGGAATAAAAGTACAGCAGCTCTGTGTATTGTGTACTGGAGGATTGTATCTCTTAAAAGTGACTGATGACAAACAAAATTCAGAGAAAGCTGTTAAGTTTTTAAGTTCATAATTCAGGTGTTCATAAACATTGAATTTATGAAAGTTACTAGAAATGTTCCGATACTGATAACAGCATCAAAAATTCCGGGTCAGACATCTGTGAATACACAAATCTATGTATCTATGTATTTGTTTCAACAGTTTGTTTTGGAGGAAATTACTTGTTCTTTACTGTTCCAATGCTGTACTGCCACTGCCAAGTTTTAGTGCAGTGAGGAAGAAGTGATTATATTTCGCTTGCTAAGTTCTATCATAGAAAACAAATACATAGATACAGAGAATGAATACCATATCTCTAAAAGTTACTGAATATATTTACATAGAATCTCATAGTGAAGTTTTTAATACATGTTAGTGCGGTTTGAACATGATAAGGTCTGTTTAATGTGTCCTGCAGGTGGACATAGAGATCAATGGAGAGCCGGTGAGTCTGCACATGAAGCTGGGGGAGAATGGAGAGGCCTTCTTCGTCAAAGAGACGGAGAACATGCTGGTGAGTAATGACATGCACACATATAGGAGGTGACATAACTTACTGACACGAAGGTCGTACGGCTTTGTGGTCAGTTCTTCACCACTGACTGATTAAGCCACAGTGTACATGTAGCTGTACATTCTAGAAAACATTTTTCACCAAATCAGAAATTACACTGAAGTGAAACTAAAATCAAGAATTTATATTACAACCATGTAAAAGATTTCGCTGTAAAAAAATGCCACTTTTAAAACAACCATCTGTTTACAAAAGATAATTAGTAATGAAAAAAAACTTGTCATTCTATGTTTTATTGCCTCCACCAAGATGTTATGTTTTCCCCCTGTCCTGAAGTGTGCACCAGGAAAGAATCTGGTGATATTTTGTGCGGCTCCAAAATCTGTTATTGGGGCGTTATCCTGGGGAATAATTCATGTATCATGATGAAAAAAATCTGGCACATTTAGGAATAACTGTGTGCGATTTGTTGCAGCTTGATTAAATTTAAGGGGACGATTGGGCCATAGTGGAGGTTTGCAGGGATCGACCCTGGAAACTAAAACCTTGATACAAATAATGTGAATTTAAATCATAAAAATTTTTTACTTTTTAAATCTTTGTAATTTTTCTTTCTCAATGGTGTTCTGGAAATCCCCATGGTGATACAACACAATGATTTGTGATGAGTGTGTTTGTATAGTCTGAAGATAAAATATGAATCAGCTGTCATACTGCTATCAGACTAGTTTTTATAACCTGAGAAAGATTTTCATGGCCATACAAATAGAATTCTACTTAATCAAGATCCTGTGCTGTGCTTGCTGCAGTGTATATGTATTAATGTGGTTCACTGCCAGAGGTCCACTATGGACAATACAACTGCACAGGTAACTGCACAACCATGTGTTTTTTACCAGAGCCACCTTGCAATTGTCAGTGTGATAATGCCTTCAATAAATCAGACGAAGCAAAAGCCTTACCCATCAAACTGCTGCTGTGCAAGTGGGCACCAACTCCATTTAAGTACAAGCAATCGATAATAGGGAGCTGGGTTTTCTCCCAGTTTTATGGAGAGAAGAGACAGAAAGAGAAGTAAGAAATGAAGAAACAAAGAGGTGAGGGAAGGAGAACATGACAGAAAGATGCATGACCTTACCAGCCAAATGACTCATGCACAAATTAAATCTGTCTGCTCTGAATGAAACAATCTGCTGATCTGAGACCCTGCACAAAATCAGATAAAGACTTAAACATAGCGTCTGAAACATAAGCTCAGTGACAACAAGGAACAAGTGCATCTGTCCCTTTGTGGCATCCTGTCTATACCAGCAGGACGTTAGTTTCCTGGATATAAACCAACATGCAAGTACACTGTGTGCAGCACAAATGCAAACGTAGCAGAAAATAATCTGACGTGGGAACATTTCCTTTTTTCTGACAACCGATTTTTATAAGGTGATTAGCAAGGACTCATGGGGGGTTTTGGGGGATTTGGAGAGTGTGCTGTTATGATGTGAAAAAGGATAAGTGTTAAATCATGAATTAAGAGTAACAATGTCCCAATGGGAGAAGAACCAATTCCTAATCTGAGGTATTAATTTGGTTAGAATTTGTTTTTGGATCCCACAGTCAATAGGTTTCATTTCGTAGTTTCTCATTAGAGTGGTTCCTGCAAGAATATTGTGATACCTCAGCACTTAATAAATGGGGAGATAAAGGCTTGTGTGTGTTCTACAGTTTGGGCCTTATGTCAAATCGTCGCCCTGTCACTATTCCCCCTCTGCAGAGTGGAAAACCACCCGGGGGCTATTAATAGCTCCGCCAAATCCTTTGTTTCTACCGAGGGTTCCACACAGACTACTCCCAGATACATGGCTTTCACTGATCTGTGTACAGTCCACACAGAAGGGGAGACAGACGTCACACACACAAACAGTTAGAGTGAGAGAGCAGGACAAACAGGACACACAGCATGCGGCCAGCACAAGGTTTACCATGTTATCACCTCATTGATCTGAATGTAAAATGATCAACAGCGTTTATGAGGAACTACTCGGCATTGAGTCTGTACCTCTGTGCCTCTTTGACCCAGTCCTCCTTCATATCTCTATCTCTCTCTTCCTCAGGCTGTGGTTTTTCGCTGGGCCTTGTGTTCTGTCAAATTGATCCTGCATGCAAAACATTAACCAAATGTTCCAGCAGAAAGGAATCCTCAGGCTGTAGAGCATCAGGAGTTTTTAAAACCTCTGACACCTAAAGTAAAAATCTATCTTTATAGCGCTATGTTGATGGAAACATAATAACTGTTTTCATGTTCATGTCTTGAATATATACGTTTAATTTCCAAGGAAAATAAAATGCAAAAACCTTTTCCGTCAATAATGGTGTACGTAATAGACATGTATTGTGGATATTCCATCTAAAACAGACACGTGTATTTATTTCAGTGTGCGGAGAGAAATAACATTTGCAGCTTTGAGAGAAACATTATGTTCATAGTCTATGTAATGAACTGAAAGTGATTTCTGGCATGGATGTTTGCAGTAAGGCAATATGTGTTTGCACAGTCTGATCACTGTCCCTTCTCCTCACCTTTCAAAATGAACTGTGTGTCATGACACGTGCACTGTATCCGCCTGCACTGCTGGGATCATCTCTTTATGCCACTCATCTCTCTGTCTGTCTTTCTGCTACAGTCACTGCGGAGAGACGACACCAGTGTGATTATAATAATCTGAGCTCAAATAATTCCCACCAGATTATTTAGACCCAGAACTAAATTGCATCTCTTCAGTCAGAACTATTTTCTACTAACATACATGTTATATTTGTAGCTGTGCCAGTTGCATTGGTCTTGATTGTATAGTGTCACTCTATCTCATGAAGTTAACCGGGATGTTTGATCACAGCAACCTCATTTTATAACATCATGCTCCTCTCTTGGCAGGAAGTTGTTCCGTCCTACTTGGCAACATCGCCCATCATGTCCACGGGAGAGGGGTTAATGGAGTCCCAGCTGGGCAGGGGCACTCCCCGTCACCATGGTAGGACCTAAAAATAAAAATAATAAAATGTGCTCGTGCTTTTTTTAACCTCCGTACTGACGACAGCCAGTGGTCATGAGGCATTACGTTTTCAGGTTGTCTTTCCACTCTTGAACATGATATCTTAAGAATGCAGAGAGGGAATTTCTTCAAATTTTGGTATAAGCATTTACTTAGACTGAAGGATGAACTGATCAGCATTTAGAGGTCAAAGGTCAAGGTCACAGTGACCTCAAAAATCTGTTTTCGATCTTGTTAATGAAATGTCTCTGGAATTTTTTTCACATTTGGAACATTTGGACTCAAAATATATATATTATATATTAGATTTTGGTGGTCAAAGGTCACTGTGACCTCTCATGAGTCTGGGAAAAAAATGTATATACACTAAAACTGCACTGGTTGGTGGAGGCATACAACCATGGTGCAGTAATTGTAATTTTTAATTGTTTTCATGTTTCTCATTTCGCAAAGACACCATCCCCTGCAGCTCGCTTCCTGTCCAGAGCCTGGGACTACAGCAAAGCGATGGTGTGGTGAACAAAAAGAGGAGGAAGAGGAGGAGGAAGACACGACTAGAGGGAGGCGGAGGTGGAGGAGGGAGACGAGAAGAGAGCGGGGAAGAGTTCTCGGAGGATGAGGACATGTTTACTATTGACTTGAGCTCGGACGAGGAAAGAGAGGCTGACGACAGCAGGTGTGTGTTTGTGTACGTGAGAAGGTGTGTGACTGTGTGAGGCTTTCAGGGACAGTAGAACATTCAAAACTCCCTTTGCATTCCAATATTTCTTTTTTTTAAATCTTTATCTGTAAGAGGTGTTAGAGGGACCAAGCATTGTTAATGCTGGTCAGTCTGTTCCACAACCTGCGTCATCAGTCACAATGTTGTTTGTGACACACACATACTCATCCAGTACTTCTATATGCTGTGCTTTTTCTATCATGCAACATGATCACACATGGCTGTCAGGGGTAATTTAGAGTTGACAGTCTATCTTGGATGCAGACTGGAGGAGCCAGGGATCAAACCACTGAACGTTTACCATCCACTCTTCCTCCTGAGCCACAGCTGCTCCATTTTTAACTGTTCTCCCTCTGTGTCTCTATGTTGATCAATGTGCTCCCAAACTGAAGTAAAGTCATTTTAACACGAATGTGCCTTTACGATGACAGACTTCTACATTTATAACCAAGTGTCTCAACTAGTGTTGTTAGGGTTTGTATTTGATTCAATTTATCAATTCATTATAATAAATGTTGATTTAAAAAGCATCTGTAAAACAGTGAGAAGAGCTTAGGGAAATAACGTGAAAATACCAGGAAAATGATGTCTCAGTGTGAGTCTGCATGTGTGTGTTTGTGTTCATCTGCATGAAACCCGGTGAAAAGACACTCTATTTGCTGGATGAACTCCAGGGATTCGTCCAGTTCCCACAGTGCACTCTGTCTCTTTGAAATAATGGCTCTCAGCGCCGTTCTTACTGCAGGGGCTCCGAGCTTTTTTAAGGTTTGCTACTTGACGGCATGGGAATATTCCTGAGATCTTTTCCAAAATATGTAACTGCTTTATAGTGAACTTGAATCTTCTACGCTGGTTTTTTCACTCGTTACAGTCGGGACATTTTATGATAATGTCTTATATGTGTAAAAAACTATGTTTTATTTTATTTGAGCTGCAGAGACATATTTAGAATTGTGTGTGTGTGTGTGACTGACATCTCCATGCATGTGTGTGTTTGTGATTAGGCCTATATACGGTGATCATGGGACTACAGCCATCACCCATACACAACCCGGCACTGATTGGACCCGCTCACAGAGGTATTGTTGGAACATAGGACACACACACACACACAATGATGAACTAATCCTAGTTTCTTTAACTGTCTAGTAAACTATTTTTAAAGCATTTCTTATCAGTTCATTATGTTCTCAGCATTTTCATACATGTTCTGTCCTCACTATAAGTAAATAAATTAACTGTCTCTCACTCTCTCTTTCCCTCTGTTTGTCCCCTTTTTCTGTTATTTCCCTTCTTTATTTGTATCTTCCTGTAGTCAAGCGATTAAGGAGACTCTCTCCATCCCTCCACCATGTGGTCTGTCCTTCTCCTGTCCTCAGCAGACCTCTTTCTACTCTTCTCTTGTTAGGTATCACCTTCACTTTTACCATCTCTCAGTGCTGCCATCCAAGTGAAGAAAAAGATACAATTGGTTGAAGTATTTAAAAAAGTGAAATAAGGAATCTTATGCTGCTGTATTTTATTCCTGTATTTTAAGGTTTATTATGTTTCTTTTATGAAGAACTAACTTAAATAAATCAAACATCTGACCATCTCTCTCCCAGCAGGCACGATGATTCACAGTCATCAACACCAAAGAGCGACTCGGAGCTAACCACTCAGAATAAAGACAACCCAGAAATGCTGTGGACCTGGGGGGAGCTGCCACAGGCTGCCCAGGTACACACACACACACACACACA